GATATAAAAAAAGCATTACCCAGATCTGCAGCCCTCGTTTTCCCCTCCAGGTCTTTGTACGTCGCATGCAATTCAAGAGGACAGCTTCTAATGAAGGTGATTTTTCGCATTGTGTTTGTGGGGGTGCCGATCGGCAGCTCTATCTCCTGACAAGAAGCTACCGCTGCACCCTCAGTCTGCTGCTGCTGCTGTTGTTCCTGCTGCTGCGAGCAAGAAGCAATAGCCACGGGGGCCTCCCCTGTCCAGCGGATGCAGATAGGCCGCCAGAGCTTCTCAGCGAAATCGAATTCCTTTACCTTAAAGTGCAACGAAGCCATTGCCGCCTGTCTCGCAAACGCAGAGAAACGAATCCACAGAAAAAAAATCAAAAAGAATATATGCGAAGACACCCCATGCAGTAAACAAGCAAACAAACGACTACAAGCGACAAAACGTACAAATGCCGTTGTACGTATGCTGCAACCACCTGCAAACCATTCCATATGAATGCGCCCCCTCGATGGTGCATCTAAAACAAATAAAGATGTATGCAGGAATACAAAACCAGCAAAGACGAACATGGAAATGCACTCATCTAATACAGACCGAGAACACTGCAGCAAAGAAACACCCAAAACCACGTGTACAGACACCACAAGAAACCAACAAGAAGAAAACCCGCCTCACACCACATAACTCCCGTGTAAATGCATCACAACGAACAAAGGCTGTACTTAGCGAACCAACTCATGCGTGCCAGGTGTACATATGCACGCCGCACCAAGCGAGGGAGAAGATCCACCTCACCTGTAGTGCGCAGCCTCTTGCGACGCATTCATCTCCCGCTAGAGTTCTTGAGATTTCCTTGCCGAACACTTCACTAACACACCGCTGTACCCACGGAATCCGGGTGCAGCCGCCCACAGCCTCAACAAACGCGATCTCCGAGACATCCAGTCCTTCGCAGCAACAACACAATGCAACGCAACAATACAGCACCATACAGCACAGTACACTACACTGCCTACAGCGCAATGCGATAAAATGCCCGATACACCCAGCAAACAATGCAGGCAAACAACGCATGCATGCAGGCAGGCATGGATCTCGTCAGTAGATATATCCGGAGAATGTGCACGCACGCAAAAGCGCACGAAGACAAATGCACAAAATACACAAGTGCACACACAAGCATATGCAACGAGGCAGCCGTCACGAACTTCTGCAAATGCAAGCACCAAACACCCGCAAACCAGAACACAACGCCATGAAAGCCCTAAAACACTCCCCACCGCGCGTGCAAATACCGCACGAGGCCCGTCATGCCCTTCAGTCAGGGCTTCCTGGCGCCCACAAGTGAGGGGCCCCTTGGTACCCTGAGGTGAGGGGCACCCTTAGTTGCTGAGGGGCCCTCTGGCGCTCGTAAGTGGAGGGCCCCCTTATGTTGTTCTTGGTTGCGTGAAGTGAGGGGTGTGTGATTGCGTGTGGGAGTACCGCTAATTGCAACTGCCTGTTGCAGCAGTTTAACAAGGGCGGGTTTAAAAGAAGCGGCACAAAGCTCTTCGAATAACTCGCGCGTGATGAGACCGGAAATGTCTCTGTCCTCCAACAGACACTCGACCGCAAAGCTCGTTTCGCTGTTCGCTGACAAGATCTTCTTCGTACGCTCTGCCTGGTCCTCCAGCCTGAGTGAGGTATACGCGCACCCCAACAAACAACGCAAACCAGCAACCCAGATATATGCACACAACGAACACTCAAATAGGCCCACACCTAACCTCAAAGAAACACGCAACCCTCCCCCCTACCCAACACCCGCCCAGCCAAAAAACTACACAACACCGGCAACCAGCTGCAGTCCTTAGGAGCCCAACAGCAAAAACAAACAAAAATCAGAAAGAGAAAGACGCATTTCATGTTCCTTTCGTTCGTGTGGGTTGAGGATTTTAGGGTTTCGTGCTTAGGGCCATGGGTCTGCGGTGGTTTTGTATGTACTTGAGTTTGGCTTTGATGTTCTCTAAGGGGTTGATTCCGTGTTGTTTTTCGAAAATTTTTGCAAAGTGCTGAGCAATTAAGACGTCCATATCTCTGCCCCCAAGGTCGGGATCTGAAACCTCTGCAAGCAACTCAGCCCCAGAAGAAGTGAAGGCGGCGATGCAGACAGAAGCTGTTGAATGACCAACAGAAACAAACGCCACCACGGTCTTCGCGTCTGTGAAGTGCTGCCGCCGATACAAACCGTAGTCAAGAGCAGCTGCAGCAACACAAACATATATGTATATATGCATATTTGCATGCAGGCACACGTCGCGCAAGCTGCTGCGCCTCACCTCAACGATCTTGCAATACGCAAACGGCATCACACAAACAAGGATAAAAAACAGCACACAAATATCGATGCATATACAACAACGAACAAACAACATGGCGCAAGCAGCAACACACAAGCAACAATAAACAAACCGCATAAACAAGCAGCAACCATATAATACCACAGAAACATCAACAAACAAACAATAAACAGGCAACAATGAGCAAACACCACACGGACAACACCACACGAACCACAACACAAGCAAAAAAACAACACACAAACAAAAACACGCAAACAACAGTGCACGACTGGCACACAAATACCGCACCAATGAACCGCTACAAAACCGGCACCGAAAGAGCTACGCGCTAATTACACAACAAAACAAAGAAAGAAACAGGCGCAGTGCAAGATTAGCAACGAGCACAACAAACAACACAGGCACGCGCAACCTGTTTACAACGCACGGCCCACCCTACAAAGAGCAACGAAGGTGCAACAACCGCTAAGGAGCCGCGAACGGAAAAAAAGCAAACAAGCCCCAAGCAAGTAGTAGTACCTAACCACCCCATTAAACATATATATATATATATATATATATATATATTATATACCAGCATATTATATATACATGCATATATAGAAAAACACGA